TAAAAACTCACAGTGGAAGAGCTTCTGAGATACAGCTTGGATGTCTCAGTTAAAAACTCTGTAGCTTTGGCAATTTCAGCAATTTATTTTGCCACAGAACACATTTAGTCACAAATTGGACTGTTGGAAGTAGATAACAGAGCCATAAGCTTCCAGTAAGAGTTTTAGAAAAAAACAGAATTTTCTCTCTGACATGGGTCTCTCCTCTATCTGCAGTTTGTCTAACTTTCACTTCTTGACTATATGGTAAGCCATGCTACACTATAAGGAATAGCAAAGATCATATGTGTAGAAGCACACAGATGTCAAACTCTCTACAATGTAATCAAAGATTTATAGGCTAAATGCAGATAAAACCTTCCTGACACCAGAGGCTGATTATCTGTCTCATGTCAAATATGAAACTCAAGGTTCAGAAATACCAACATTCTACAATATTTCTCAACATTTTGAGGTACATAAATTTTCTGGTTCTTAAAATTCCTGATATTTCCCCTGGAGACACAAGCAGAACCACTGAGTAGTGCCAGCATATTTCTCACAGACACCCAAACTCATGTCACAGACTCTCACTTCTGCATTCATGAGGCCTGGCCCAGTGGAGACAGCAGCATGGCAGGGCTCTAACACAACAGAAACCAAGAGGGGCTGATATCTAATGCCATCTGGATTACACCAGTCATGCAGGATATGTGAGACCCAGAGGTCCAATCTCTTCCAGCTCCAGCATAGACATGGAAAAAACTCTCTCATGACCACGTCCTAAAACCAAAACTTTCAGATCTTTCTGGTGGGTCTGTCTGAATGGTTCCTGATGCAGATACTGCATGATTGTGAGACATCTGAATATTCATTAGACAGGACCTCAAAGCACTCTCATTCCCTTCTTACATCTGATCTAAGAGATGTTGTCATTATCTTTTCTTTCAGACAGACTGAGTGGGTATTTAATGAGCCCATCCAAAGCTGAACAGCTTCAGTGGGACAGAGAAAGCAAGACTTGCTCAAAAAGAGCTTACAGTCTGGTGGCTTCCAGTACCCTCCCAGGAGAAATCAGTTCAAATTCCTTCAGTGAGATAAGAGACTTCAACCTTGGTCTTTCATACCCCAAGGAAGCAATCTTAAATATTAATGCTTTTTATTAACTGACGTGGCACCATTTCCTCTTGTGTGTGAGAAAATCCAACCTCATTAAAGCACTTAACCTTGGGAGAGTATTAGGGTGGCACAAGTGAAAGGAAGCACCAACAGCTGTCAGGACACACTCTCTGTCCTATTCCCTACCAGCTACCACTGGCATGTCAGGTTGGATGAATTTCATTTTAGGTGGCATTCCTGGCTTTACAGGACCTTGGTGCCTAACTCAGGGATGCAGTTTCCACTGGAGGACAAAATGGTCACAAAAGAAACGTTACTATCCTGAATCCAAATATCCTTGGAGGACCTAGCAATGGTTATCATGGAAGGACACCATCCCTCAAGTGACTCTCAGGTCATACACTTCCCTCAGTTAAGGACATGATTAATTTCTCCAGAACTCCATGGAAGAACCTCCATGGACTTCACTAGGAAGTGGGTGTTTTTCCAGTGCCCCTAATTCCACCATGGTGTTTAAGCACTCTGGTTCACTAGGTTTATGATGTAGAGTGCTTACACGCCAAATGGAGCTTAGTTTATCTCAGTTCTCTTAAAACTCTACTGCAAAAAAGAAATGGAAGCTATTAAATAATTCAAGGGTGTCATAGCCATCAGCTGGCTGAATACCTGTGAAACAGAATGTGCTTACAGAATATGAGACTAAACCTTGTCTTACTCAGAAGCACTGCTAAGAAAATAAATAAATAAACACATAGCAAGACTTCTTTTTCTCATCCTGGATATCTTTTAATAACAATAACAGGGTGAACACAGCACTTCATATCCAAGTAAGGATGAATGTGATTTCAAATCTATATCACCTTTTCAATCTCTGGATGTAAAATATGTGTAAGGTTGCAGTTGGAGCAACAAAATGATATACTGTTGGGACAACAAAATAACTGTTACATCTAATTCTCAAAATTAGCTTTAAGTTTAAACAACCACAACTAGCACTACAAAGGGCCCTGGATGGTAGCAGCTACATAGATTAATAGAAGTCATTTGCTCCATAGTCTCTAAGAGCTGCAGTCTCCTCTTTATACATCAATGGACTATATGGCCAAGCAGCTTTGGCTTCCCAGAGAGCCCTCCAGCATGGCAGGAATTTTTGCCTTAAAAGAGGCCATCAAAGTTTCAGGCATATCAAATACTGCACAAGCCTTATTAAGACCCACCAGAAAAGTATTTTTATGTCAGGAACCTGTAGATGTGTTGCTGAATTCAACAATAGATTGAGAGCATATGGATGTGAAATTCAGCTGTGAAAATGTTGGAGGGCTCTTGTAGAGCTGAGCGAAACAGATCTCACATAGGTTGAACCCTGCTTCCTTGCAGTCTTTGGAGGGACTCAGATAATGGAGATGCTGGAACACGTCCACTCCAGCAGGAAAGCTGTTTTGTCTGGGGTGGAGCTTTCTCTCCAAAGGAGAATTTACAAAGAAGAAATACTTCTGCAATCTGAACAAGCACACAGGGAGTGACCCGAGGGAGGAATTGCACCTAACAGTGTGGGCTTTGCTGTTGACTTCAGTATGTGTGCAAGCACAGCTGCTTTTAGGTTTAGCAATTAAGCATGAAGAAGTTTTAACCATCATAATTTTAGGTACTAGTCAAAGTAATATATAGGCACTAGGCAAAGTGATATAGGTAGATTCTGTGTGGATTTTCCACCCAGTTCCTTACCTATGTTTACAGTAAGCCATTATGGATGTGGTTTACAATACAAAAACACTCACCAAAGGCTTCTTACCCTAGAAAACAGCGGATTGAACAGACAGTAGGGATTCCATGGAGCAGTCATGGCAAGGAAGCTCAAAGAGATCAAAGATCAAAAGCAGCAGACAAGGTGCAGAAAATAAAGTACTGAGGTGAAATGAAGCAGACAAGAAAAAGAGAAAGCATGATAGAGAGCTGCAAATCTTTGTGGATGTGCACGAACACACGAGTGACTGCCTGGGCCATACTGAGTTTCCACTCATGCACAGACACATCCTTTCACACATTGCAGAAGATTCAGAATGAAACTTGGCCTTGAACACAGGGCTGCCAAACATTTTAACGAAGTATAACTGGTGCAGAGATAGATACAGTGCTGAGACAAAGCTTCCAATGGAAGTGGGAGAACATCAAAAAATCACTTCTATGTTCAGTTTAGCTCCTCGTTTTAGGATACTCTCACACATGCCCATGTTCAATTAGCAAAGCATTTTCACAATGCTCTGATTATGAAGCAAGGCCCTCTTTTGTCCAACGACAGTTATAGAGGAGAGGAACTGCAGGGGCAAACATGCAGTGCCCAGAAATCACATCTACATTCAATTCATTTTGGACATTTGCTCAACCAGCCTTGATCCAACCCTGCCACACAGGGTTTGGTGGGATCTGAAAGAAACGTGCACTGCTTGAAAACGCACTGGGATGTGTGCAAACCAAAGTGCATGCGTGTCAGGGCTGGGTGTTTGGGAGGTTTATTTCAAAAATGCTCCCATGGACATAGCCATAAGCTGAATCCAAAACATAAACGTCCTGATCTGGCTGTCTGTCACTGCTGCAATTGCTTGCAGTGCCCCACCATCCCAAGCAGTGCTCATCTCCCCAGTCCCAGATGGAGCAATTCTCACCCCAAAGGGCAGGACTGTATTTGAAACACAGAGATGTAGAATCTGATGGAAATCGTATTCTTTGAGCCTGTGGGCAGTGCCCAGGGCCCTGGTAACACAACAATTGTTCCTTCATTTGCCGCTATTTAGTGGATACTCAGAAAAGCAGTTGCAGTTGGGCTTATAAATTACAAGACAACAGACAAAGGGAATAAATGAGACAAAATTAAAGACATTACTCCTACGTCTCATAAATTATCTCTGTAGTCTATTTTAACAGCGTGAATTTACCAGTGACTGTTAAAATAGTATAAAAAATAAACCCACCTAGCACACTAACTAGGCATTAATGAAAAAGCAAAATATTGTTTTGTGTTCTCCAAAACACAGAAAACAAAATATTCCCACCAGATCTCATAATGCCTTTCCAGGGGAGAAAGAATCATAATCTTCTATATTGAAAAAGAGACTGAGCTCTTGGAGTCGGAATGAAAATAAATTAATAAACCTAATTACACACTCCGCGCATGGAGGAATCGAAGGCGTTAAGTCAGCCCAGGAGAACCGGGCGCTTTGATTGTGCTCACTTAACAACTTCCCCGTCACCGTGCGGGGCCCCAGGGAGGCACCTCCCGGCGCTGCCCCCGGGGCCGCTCCGCGCCTCTGCGCGGGCACCGCGGCGCTCGCTCCGCCGCACACCGCGGCTCCTCTTCGCCTCTGGGCGCCGTCCCGGGCAAACTCCGGCTGCGGAGCCTCCCCCCGAGCACACCGGCGGGCTGGGCCGCCGTGGCACCGCTCCCTTAAAGGCGCCGCGCCTGTGCGAGTTCGGGCTGAGCGCGCTGCCCGCGCAGAGCTGCGCAGCGGCGGCGCCGACAGCCCTGCGCCCGACCTCCGCCTGCCAGCAGCCTCGGCGGGGAGCGAAGCCTTGGCATGTAGGAGCCAAGAGAGGGAAAAGGTGCGGGGCGGAGGGAGGTGAGGGGGAGGAAGCCCGGGGGGAGGCTGAGGGGGTGGGAAGCAAGGAAGGGGAAAAGAAAAAAAAAAAAGAGCTGCCTCTTTAAATGCTGGGGGCTGAGCGCTTGCCGGGGCGTCCGTGGCGGATCCAGCCTCCCTCCCTCCCCTCGGCCGTGCCTCTCCGGCGCTCATGCCCAGCCGCGGAGCCGGCGGCGCGGCGCTCGGGCGCTGCCGCTGCGCGGGGAGCAGGGGGAAGGCGCACCTGGCCGGCGCGGGGGTGCGCTCTCTGCCGTCCCCAGCTCGGACCTCCCCACCTCCCCAGGCGCTCGCAGCCCCTCTCTAACAGGTGGCTCGGTGCCTGCCCCGCTCCCCGGCGGCTCCTGCGCCTCTCTCCTTCTCCTCGCCGCCGCCTAACAGGTGGTGGTGCCGCCGCCGCGCCTTCCTCCGTCCAGGTAGGGAAGTCTCGTGTCCCCCTTCCCCCCGTCCCCGACGGGCTCCCGCGGCCCCGGGGCGCTGCTGGAGACTGCGCTGAGCGGGGGGAGCCGGGACGCCCGTGGCGCGGGGAGCCGCGCTTGTGCCCGCGCTGCTGCTGTGGGAGCCGCTCACCCGCGCCCGCCCTCATGGCCCCGCCGTGTGTCTGTCTTTGCAGCGGGCATGGGGAACCAGGTGGAGAAGCTGACCCATCTCAACTACAAGGAAGTTCCCACGGCCGACCCGACAGGTATGGACAGAGATGAAGGGCCCAGGATCGGGGTCTCCTACATCTTTTCGAATGACGATGATGAGCTGGAGCAGCAGCAGGATTCGGTGCATGACCTGGGGGGTGAGAACCCTGCCCTGCAGCCCTACGATCCCCAGCTGCACGAGGTGGAGTGCTCAGTCTATTACCGGGATGAGTGTATTTACCAGAAGAGCTTTTCAGAGGAGGACACGCAGCTAGAGGAGGGTGATGAAGGTGGTGGGGGGCATCTGAGCACCTACACCCCGGAGAACCTGCTGAATAGGTGTAAGCCAGGTGACCTGGTGGAGTTCGTGTGCCAAGCCCAGTATCCGCACTGGGTGGTCTATGTGGGGGATTTCCAAGTTGTGCACCTCCATCGGCTGGAGGTGGTGAACAGCTTCCTGACCGATGCCAGCCAGGGCAGACGCGGCCGCATTGCCAACCAGCTGTACCGCTACAAACCCCTCAGCCCGGCCGTGGTGGTGCGCAATGCCCTGGAGCAGGTGGGCTGCAAGGACCGGGACTTGAGCTGGAGAAACTCGGAGTGTTTTGCTGCCTGGTGCCGATACGGCAAGCGAGAGTTTAAAATCGGCGGGGAGCTGCGCATCGGCAAGCAGCCCTACCGATTGCAGATCCGGCTGGGGGACAAGCGCAGCCACACGCTGGAGTTTCAGAGCCTGGAGGATCTGATCATGGAGAAGAGGAGGAATGACCAGATTGGTAGGGCTGCTGTGATCCAGGAGCTTTCCAGCCACCTGCAGGCTGCAGAGGAGGAGGAAGAGGAGGAGGAAGACCATCATCATCCAGGTGCTCAGACTGCTGTGGAGTAGCAGCCTCAGCACCACCATTCTGCTTAGCCTGGGTGATGGGGATTAAAACTGAAGGCTTCGAAATTGAGCTGTTATAAGCCCTTTGGGCTGCTTCGGTGCAGCTTCATTCCAATCACATGTGAAAGGAAGGGGGAAAGCTGCTTAAGTGTCTGTGCTTTAGTGCTTAACTCCTTCAGTGCTTGATGATAAAACCCCTGACTTATTTGTAGAGGATAAAACTCAGGGCAATTCTACCCCTCTCCTCTCATACTTCTTTCCCTTCCTCTCTGCCATATTCACACATAGCCTTTTCCTCAACCATCTGCCAGTAGGCCTGACCCTACAAGATGCTAAATGCCTTTGACACCTACTTATCAGCAGAAGTTAATAGTATTTAATGCCATTAAGAAGTAGCCAACGACTTCCAGGACATGACCATGTAGCTCTGAACATGAGGATATTGTTTTCCCTTCTCTGCTACTGTTTCTCTTCAGCTGTGGCTGCTGTTGGTATTGCAAGGAGCTGCTTCTCGCCTGGTTGAAGGCTTTGTGGGTTTGGTAACCAGCTCCCCAGAAGGTGTAAGGCAGAAATCTCCACTGATTTTAATGAAATGGGTTTGATGTGCCTGGTGCCTTCTTAATTGATGGGAGGTTGCAGGTGGGCTGGGGGACCTTCTCCTTTGCCGTCAGCATGTGGTTTTGGGGACATAAAATATATTTGTTGCCAACAGGTGTCAGGGAAGGAAGTTTGCCAGCCCAGTTGTACTCTGCTCACTGGTGTGTGTTGGGACTCCTACAGGCAGATGCTGAGCTGTGTCAGGGCTCATTACAGGCTGCCTTGGCTTCTCCTAAAGCAAGTGGCAGAGCTCCTGATTATGTCTGTAATGCACACAGAAGCAGTAGAGGCAGGTTGCTTATGTGTAAGAGTATGTCTTGAGTAAGCTGTCCCTCAAGAGGGTGACCTCTTGGCTGGGTGCTTCTGGCTGTGAAGCGTGCCACAGGTTCTGCCCCACAGTGAACGCAGCTGTGATGGAAGGGAGCGCAGGCTGGAAGACATTACAGGACTGCAAGGGCTTGGGTGTTCCAAAGCAGTTTCCTCTTCATTAGGGATTTCGTATTTCTTGGTTTTTTGTTTTTTTTTGCTAATTTCGATGGTATGCAGCTGAGCTATAGCATTAGAGGGGAGGACATACCTCCAAAGTTGTGCAAGTCCTTCAGGAAGGGGGAGTGCAGTGCTGCCTGCCCTGAATATTCCCTGAACTTTTATTCAGCTGTTGAACTGATCTCTCACACAGGCAGCCCTATCAGATCTTTGTCCTGGGATCTGGGGTGTGTGAACAAGCACTGATTTGGAGGCAGTTTCTAATTGAAAATTCCTTCCCCTTAAAACCCAATATGATGATGTGAACTTGAAGATAAGCTTGAGTTCATTTAAGTAATGGAAACTAACAGTGTGATGTAAACTTGAAGCATAATTAATATGGTCTTCCCCGAAGCTGTTTACAGTTATACCACAAATAGCAAAGTACTCCATGTCCTTTCCACCTCTGTGACAGGAGCAAAGTTTGTTGTTTAAGAATAAGTAGGTACAAGCTTTTGATTAGTTAACACTATATGAAGCAACATTGCCAATTTGAGCCAAGTGGATTGTGGTGTCATGTTTTCTGCCTAAAATCTACAAGCTAAGATTTGGCCTGTGAAACACAAATCCAGGGGAGAGTTTAATAGCAAGCTCCCTTAGAATGCTATAGCTCAGGTGCCTGCACTAAGTGTGGCTTTTTCCACCAATATGCAATTGAGTTATACTCAGGTTACTGTGGTTGTCAAGCAGATGTCTAACCTTGTTGTGAAAGCATATCTACCCATATCTGATCGTGATAGGGTTAATATGTGGATGTCTGCACACAGGTTTTGTACAACTACTAGTAACTACTGAAAGCTGGAATGATCACTGAGACAGTCTGAAAAAGAGTGAAGGAGAGTCTGTCTGTTGTACTTCTGACTGATATGAGACAACAGATTATCTAGACCATGAGCGAATGTCTAGCTGTGGTTTCTTTCATACTGAAACCTTGTACATAACAAAGTTTATTTCACTGTGTAATATAGCTATGTAAAATAATATTTTCCTAGAGATATTTTTGGAAGTTTAAAAAAAAACCTTCATAACCTTGCATTTGAAAGTAAATTGTTATGCACGTTATTTTCCAGTTCTCTGAATGGGTTTATTTTTCATTCATGATCTAAAGTATATTCTAGGTCATAAAATATTGAAACTGGTATAAATGTCAAATATTATGTATCTACAGGGTACTAAACAGTAAACTAGTTGTGAAAATATTTTTCCTTTGTGTCTGAAACATCAGAAGTATGACACTTAGCCATTTCTCCCCTTCTGAGATATCCTGAATAGTCTGGCTTCGTTTTCTGGTTTTTTCTTTGTGTCTGAAACATCAGAAATATGACACTTAGCCATTTCTCCCCTTCTGAGATATCCTGAATAGTCTGGCTTTGTTTTCTGTTTTTTCCCCCACTTTTTTTTTTTTTTTTTGGGGTGGGTTTTTTTTGTTGTTTTTTTTTTTTTGTATTTTTTGTTTTGTTTTAATTAAAAAGGACCAAATCTGCTTGGGAATTGAGAGCAAAGCTTCTTTGACCAGCTGAAATCTTGTCTTGTGCTGTTCTTGGTGCTTCTCTGTACCGGTCATGCCTTTTGGGATAAATTCCCCCACAGGCACAAGGCCTTAGCAAAGAATTCCAGAGCTTGCCGTGCTTTGCTAGGAGAGAGAGTGAAGGAGGAGCTTGCCTCACAGCAGAGTTTGGCATGCATTCTGCTGTGTTATAAAACCTCTGTGCTCCTCTGGCATACAGGTGTTTGATATTTGGAATCATAAAGTTTCCCTGCAAGCTATGTTTGGGAATTTATTGTCCCCTGACATTCCATTATGTGTAAAAGTAAAAGAGGGTGGAAAGCTTGGCATTTTTTAAAATTTTGTCTGAAAGAGGCCTACCTCCATACAGGGATTTCTTATTCCAGCAGATAAAGATGCAACTGTTGAATCTTTAACAGGCAGGTCCTTTTCCCCTACTTGTTGATTAGGCAGTGTTATTTAATAGGTGCTACTAAACACCGCTGCACACGTTTCTAAGCAGTCTGTTTTTAAAGCCATGGACCTCTAATGACCTGGATTGTGAGAACAGAAATTGCTGTAGAAGCACATCTCAACTGCTTGGTTCCTTGTCTTTGCTGTACTTTGCTCAGTTACTGTCTGCAGAGTAAGCTGGGATTTCTGGAGCTTGATTAAAAAAAAAAAAATCTCCCAGGAAAACTGGCTCTTGTGTATATGTCTACTTCAGGAGTTTTACATGGATCGCAAAAGAGAAGGGAAAGGAATAAAGTGCTCTTCTCCGCATCTGCTTTAACACAGAGATATGCAGGTGTGCTACTTCTGCAGAGCTTGTGCTTCAGCAAAGGTCTTAAGTCTATATTGAGTTTAAAATTTTGAGTAGACTGTACCTACTTGAGGCCACTTGAGAATCAGTAAGCCCATTCTTGTGCTTGAAATTAAGTATATTTACATTTCTTTATGAATAAGGGTCTGAAATTTCAATATGATGTCTCTGGTGGGAGTGTGGAGCTTCTGAGGTTGCATAATCTACAGGGCAGAATAAGTAGTGCAGTGAAAGCTGTTTCTCAAAGAGCCTCTTGTCCAAACAGCTCATGGAACCCAGCCCAAACTTTGGCCTCAGTTTCCCTCTGGAAATGCAGGAGCTGCACTGATTTGGTGAGAGGTGTGTTAAGCAGCAGTTGTAAGCTAAGCTGGTGATCTGCAGATTCCTCTGGTATCTTTGTCTCATCATGCTTGAACTTTCCCTTGCATTTTTAACATTTAAACTTAATATAATTTGCTTTAAAAGCCCTTTGATTGTGCAAACATTAATCTATATGAATTTACTCATTTGGGTATATCTGCTCCTGTGAATATCAACATGCACTTGTGAAGGCTGGCAAGGCTGAGCCCCAGATGTGTAAATGTAGCTCCAGCTAGGAAATGTAGATGAGCAGTCTTATTTCCCTGGAGTATTGGTGTGTTTGATGCAAATAATGCCGTGGAAAAGACGTTGTAGTAAAACGTACAATTATCCGTTGATTAAGTAATTTTAAAAACACAATTTAGACATTTACCTTCCGTGGCAGTGAACAAAGACATAAACTGAAGACTATATTTTGTTATCCCTGATTTTGTGTGAATGCAAGGTATTGATTACAGCAACTCTAGAGCTCCTCTGGCCAATGTGGTAGGCAGCTGCCGAGTAGGCAGGGAAAATTCCCAAAAGCGATTTCAAAACCTGTATTTTCTTACTTGGAAAACTACATTCTTCAGACTGAAGGACCCTAGACTATGGAAGTAAACTTTAAATTGTTTTGTATAAATGAAACCATAGGCAAACTCCTTTTGTTCATTTGATTTCACTATTCCACTCAGTACTATAATAGGTAATATTGTGTGATAAATCTGTTCCAGATTTTGAATGTAATGGTGGTTTTCTTTTTCTCCTCTCCTTTGGTTGAGGTTTACCAAAGGTCTGTCCTTGGGTATGTGAAGTGTGTTGTTGAGTGGTTTCCCACGTGTGCTTTTCTGACAATTAACAGCACCAACCATAAAGCTAACAGCCATGTAGGAACAAATATTTTTCAAAAGCAAAATTTTAATTTTGTATAAGAGATCAGAGACTGGTAACTAAGTAGAGGTAGGAAATACATTGTTTCCAACCACAGTTTCTATTTGTAAGAAATCTACTATTAATTGAGTATGCTTGACTACTCTTAAAAATCAGTGTGCAGTGATAAGGCGAGGAGTATTGTATCATGGGCTTAGACTTTCAGATTAGGCTTTTTCTTTAACTGTGAATAGGAAGAAATCAGGGTGATTTTGAACACCAGTGGTTTAGATGGTTTAAATTCCTTTGCATTAATACTGGATTAAAAGCTTTCTTTAAATGCACACTTGAAATTCCTAACATTGTAACACTTCATGAAATCATCCACAATAAGAAGTGTAATCACAAATATGATTTTTTTTCACCATGAGCATTTTCTGTAAGCTGTCTTTTGTCAGTAAATGTTGAATTGTTAGTGCAAATATCTTCTTTTCCTGAGAAAGAAGTACACATCATTGATTGTACCATTTCCTTCAAAATGAAGGGCATTTCATAGTAACTCAAAAGAAATAAAAGATTTATAGTGTCTTTTACAACCTTTCTTTCCTTTGATTTTTTGAATAGCATGTTTTTCTCCAGCTTTTGGAAAAAAAGTTGTAATTTCTCATGATGGATGCATCAGTCACAAAACAATATTTTCAGTGCCTTCACACATCAGATCAAAATCTAACTCTTTGGTTGTGTTCTTGCTTCAAAGAAAGAGGAATAATAATCTCTATAAAAGGCCAGAGCATCAGATGCCTAATAGGTGATAGCTGTATTAAATCCAATGAGGATCTGGCCCATAATTTAATTTTTAAGTGGAAAATTAATTCAGCAGCAGATCATATAGTATTAGCTGGCAGCAGGGCTTGTCTTTTCTGCCAGCAACTGCTAAAGGAACAGATGTAGCGTCTGCTGGAGGGAGAAACGAGAGAACAGAACTCACAGGGAGTTTTTGGGGAAATCTGTACAACTGTTCAGTTTGTGTGTTTTGTCTCATGGCAGATCCATGGCTGCTGTGAGATCATAGTTCTGCCCACACCAGCCTTGGGGACATTGCTTAATCAAGGTGACAAGGGTTGTGTGTTGTGGGGAAATATGACACCCATGGGGTAAGCATTCTTAATCCATTAAAGCCTTCCGCTGGATGCATATTCACAATGGCAAAAAGTGATACAACCAACAAGCTGTACTTGTGCTCAAGATCCTGACCACAAGGAGCTATTTGAATCTCACACAAAAAGGACTGAGTCAGCTCTGGCAAGGATTCTTTGAGTGAAACCATCCTGAGGAAATCCAGCTGTAACGAGATGAGACTTCTGCTGAAAGTATCGGTGGAGATTTAGCTCTTCTGTGGGTGGCAGCTGTCTGTGACAGCTGTCTTATAGGTGTGAGGAAGTGAGACAAATTTTTATATCAGAGACAGCAGCTTTCAAGGCTCAAGGCTGCAGGTGTGAATCTACCATAACATCGAATTTGTAGCTCTGCTATGGACTTAGGTGACTTTGAACAAGATGTATAAGGCACCCAGCTGTGCTCTGTGTGACTGCAAGAGTGCCTGAATTTTCAGGTGTCTGATACTAGATTTGAAAACATGAAGAATCAAAGATGTGATTTAAGTGACTGGATCAATATGTGAAAATCCCTGCTCAGTTATCACTTAGCACTGGAGGCCACTGAATTCTGAAGCTTCATAGTTTAACCTGTTTTTTGTGCATGTGTGTTTATTTAGTCACCATAGTGTTTTCTTGAGGCTCTGGGCCTTTTTTGTGTTCCCTGAAGTTTCTCCAGGTACATAAAGCAAAGCAGTCCATGTATTCTCTCATAGCCTGTGCCCATAGAGAGGGAGATCCTGCTTGCTGGATCTCCCTCCCAGTGGCTACTCCAGAATTTATGTGACATCAGTTACCAAAAAGAAGCATCTTGAAAAGGACATTTGCATTGCCCTTTTATGTCAGAACACACCTGAGCTAGAAATAGGGTAATTTAAAATGCAAGTAGTGGGACATGGATTATGATGAGGTCTCTGCACTCCTGGCTGGTTGCTCTGAGCACTGGGCTTATACAGAGGGTTTTTCTCTTCAGTTCCCTCTTCGGTGCACTGTCGGTCGTTTCCAGTACAATACCCATGAAGGTCCACCCCACAAAAATCTGGGAGTGATGGGAAGATTGAATCCCCATCATCCCCAGGCAGAAAAAGAAATCAGCTTTCAGCCTTCATCTGTCCTGAAATTCTGCTCAGGTCTCTAGGATACTGTATAAAATCCTACTACCCACCACTAACATTGCCATTGTTATTGTAAAGGAAGATGCCCAAGTTTCAATTTGAGTGTTTGCCTTGTGCTTTTTTCCAAAGAGCTCTGCATTGTGGCAGGAGGCAGTGCCTGTGGCCAAAGTCAAGGTGCCCACGGGCTGGAGGGGAAAGGAAGGGAAGAGGGAACAGCAGACTTGCATAATTATGGCAAATCCATAGTGGTGGAAGGGACCTCTGGAGATCCTGTAAACTACCCTTTTGCTCAAGACACATGCAACTACAGCAGGTTCCTCAGGGCTGGATCCAGTTCTATTTTTCATAGCTCAGATTATGGAGACTGAAGATTTCTTATTATAGCCTTTCACCACTCATGTCATGAAGGTTT